TATATATATATATATATAACAGTGCCGCCCTAAAGTTCACCCAACGAGTCTGTGAATGTCCAGTCGGATTACAAATCGAATGCTGCAGATTAAGACCATGTATTAATCCTAACTTTTAATACTTTACAGGAACCCATCAAGTCATATCTTTTCTCCCTTACGTGTTCAGAAATCTTAAAGGTATCCTTAACAGCCGCCTGAGTGATAAACCAGCAGTATCGGAACTGAAAATCTTGATTTAAAACCAATCGAAGTTAAGGGCAGATAAGCAGTGAAGAATGCTGCAGAAAATCGCTTTCTATATACATCCAAATTCACCATATACTCTAGAATTTCAACACATTTGCTTTCCCTTTTTAAAACTCGAATTATCCTTCAATGCATTGATTCTCAGAACAGCGATAAAGAGCACTGGTGATTGATCAACAAAAGAGCAACGAATGCTTCGAACGATGGATGAACAGTTTGAGATTCAAGAATGTTCCTGAAATTTGCAGTAAAACTCTTGATTCAGTAGACCGCTGGAAACGGAGATGAAAGAACAGAGTCAAGGCAATGTGGTAGAGGAACGAAGATGATAATTTACTCCTGTAAAAAGGACGATGGACCACAAAAATTTTAAAATAACTGCTGAAAGCTGAACAAGTATAGAATCAAAAGTAATAAAACTGCTTCTAATAAAAAGCCGTCTAATAAAAACAGTTCTACAATTTCGCTGATCAGCAATAAATTTTTTTGACCACTGAAGAAACACAATAGCATACTTTTTGAGGTAGGCTGAAGCTACTGAATTAAAGTTATGTAGCAAAAAACGTTACCGTACAACTGGTCGTGAAGTTCGTCAAACCCTCCTTCCACCTTGTTGTCTTCATATAGTACGACGAGGAGCATAGAACCTCTAGATCAAAAGCACATCTACCCACTAACACACTCAATTATTTCACAGCCTCTGACCAATCCAAATAAATGGGGAAAAACCTCAAGAGGAAAACTAATCACAATTTTTTCAGAAAAAAAAATTAAAAGTATAATTTAATTGTGCATAAAACTGCCTAAAAGAGTAAAAAACTAAAATATTTTCTAAATTTTCAGTAATTTCATGAAAATGAATTATTGAAAAACAAATAGAATTCGATGCAAGAATCCCAGCTTTGCATGAACCAACCTAACACATATACGTATATCGACAATCAATAGCTAATTGAAATTTGACAAAATAACAACCTCTTGGAAATATTAGACAAATACAACTGAACGCTGTAACATATATAGAGCAACAAACAAAACATTAACAACTACAGTGACGCGTAAAATAGTATGACCAATGATTAAAATTCTATTTCACCGCTCTTTGATACTTCATTACCCCTATCGGCAAGTTAAATCTCCTGCTTCCTCTAGTTACGTGGTTAGATAAGTGACTAGGTAATTATTCTAGAAAAAAAGCCCAAGAAATAAACAATTTCCTCTACACAGATAGCTTAGGTAACTGAAAGTAAATGTAGAACAAACAAGACTAAATTAATATAAGAATTCATCACTAAAAGACACTGTAAATTTTAACAGTAAAATAAATCGAAAATTTGTCAGAAGTGGAGCACAGGGCTGGTAATCTGTAGCAAATTCTTTCTGATCGAACACTCGCTATAACGTATCTTGCATACAGTCTATTAAACGCCTACACTTGTTTACCGTAATCTTACTTAGACCTTCTACAACTACCCTTACTAAACCTCCAATATTGTTTGATAACTAGGCGATGCTGCTCTCGTTTTTTTATTTTTTTAAACTAATTTCTAATGAGACGTGTTTGGCTTAATACTTCACTGAAGGCCTCAATTTGAAGAAAGCTTCCCTTCTGCGAAAAAAAAAAATACCTTTCTCGTACTTCTGCGACTTATGGTACTACAAAGAATCACTAAGCCTTTAACATTTCAATCAGTTCCTGGCGTAAACTTGGTGCTATGTCTTCTGCTACCCTCCTTCCTACATACACTCATTTCAGAAACCAAAACTCTGATTACTACGCGCTTTTGCAACCTTTCTTCAAAACTAACAGGCAAAAAACTAAATTCCATTGCAAAAAAACCGAATGCCTTGAAGGAACAGCCCGAAAAAATTGAAAAGCGGAGTACGACATGCATTTGTTGCCACTCTACATAATTACTTGTTACAGTTAAAGAACACAGATTTTTCACACAAGCAGATCAGTGTAAAATGTTACAGTGATATCATTACTTACTGTACTTTTTTGTTTTACGTCTGCTGCCATAAAAGCAAAAAAGCGACAGGTCTTTGAAAATTAACAGTCAAATAAAGATGCCACCGGCTGTATTACTTCGCCAGCTGTTGTAAATAAAGCTGGTGATAATCAGCCACTTATTTCCGCAATAAACTTTTCTTGACAAGCTATGCTAATGGTTCAACTGCACTATACAAACTCTTTGCCACCCAAACGAAAATGACTAGAATAACAGTTTCACTAGCCATAATCCACTATTAACAAAACTTTTTAAAACAAAGGCTACACAGTGAGTAGCGTTACAATAAAAAAAGTACCTGATTACTAAAGCCCAAAGGCAGATATCAGATTGATTCCAAGGCCTTAGCACCACCGTAAATTTTTCAAAGGTAAATTAGGTCAAGTGAAAAAAATCCGCTGAATAACTTCATATTTTAGCTACTATTCATGGTCCCTGCAAACCTTTAATTAGGAATAATCCTTATTCGTCCCTACAAAAACAGTGATCCAAGGAAAAAAAAAAA